CTAATTTATTTTGGCAGATATGGACCTATTTGTTTTTCCAAATAATTGCCAACTAACAGCTAAGTACATTGAGCATAAGTTATCTTAATAAGGGGATTCAAAAAAGATTTGAGGAATTGGGATTGCCTGAAAGCCTTATGGTCAGCCAGATATTCTCACTGGACTATTCTCGTGTAGACTACTGACTGTGGGTGGCTGAGAGCCCCTGAATTCCGTGGGGTGATGTGGCCTCATGCCCAGAGCACCCAGCGCAGTGGGTGACACCAGCTGGGGTGCCCGACTCAGTGTGAATGACCGTCCTCAGAGAAGCCAGGCATGAGTGCAGCAATGGCTCAGAACCCTTGACTTAGACTCTTCTGGTCTCTTCCTTGCCTTCATACAGGTTTCTTTTTTTCCATTTTTTAAATTTTACTGTTGTTCAAGTACAGTTGTCTGCCTTTCCCCCCCAGGTTTCTATTTTTTTTTAAAGATTTTATTTATTTATATTCAGAGAGAGGGGAAAGGAAAAAAAAGAGTGAGAGAAACATCAATGTGTGGTTGCTTCTCACATGCCCCCTACTGAGGACCTGGCCCACAGCCCAGGCATGTGCCCTGACTGTGAATCAACCTGGTGACCCTTTGGTTTGCAGGCCTGTGCTCAGTCTACTGAGCTACACCAGCCAGTCATACAGGTTTCTATGGATGACTCCTTTTGGGGCTCCAGGAAAATGCATTCTGTATATGGTATGTTGAGTTTCCTAAAGAAGTCAGGAAAGCTTTGCTTGGGGGTAGCTTAGAATTTCACCCTATTTCCTCCTGTCTATTCCTTAGGAGAGGGCGAGATACTTGCTGCTTCATAATGATCACCAAGTCCTACCTACCATAAGGGTAAGGCAGATGGGGGTGTGTGAGGGGCTGTGTGTGTGTGTGTATTTGTTATTTGTGTTGACCTAAAAATCAAACAGATAAAGAAAACAAAATCAAGCCAAAATGAACTAAAAGGAGGACAAACCCCCTCAAACCTCTCCCATTGATGGCTCCACACCCCATAAGCTCCTGGCCTATTTCTCTGTTCTTTACTCTTCCATTCATGTGGAAGGAGTCACCAACATTTCCTGACTTAACGGACAGAATCTGATCCCCTTTGTAAAAGTATCAGACACAAGATTTGTAAAAATGAAAAGTATAATCACGGACATAAATTGATGCTGATGGCATTTGGAGGTCCCTCTGTGAATTTCTAACTGATTCCACGGCACACAGGTTGCCCACAGAGGCATCTTCAAACCTTTCCCACACTCCAGAATCTCAACCGTGACTCCAGCTTTGCTGACCTCAAAGCCATCTGATGGGGGCTTTATTTAAATGCCACCCCTGGCCCTGGATGGGTGGTTCAGTTGGTTGTGGCGCCATCCCATATACGAAAATGTTGTGGGTTTGATCCCTGGTCAGGGTGGATATGGGAGGCAACCGATTGATGTTTCTCTCTCACATTCTCTCTCTAGTTCTCTTTTGCTCCCTTCCTCTCTTTGAAATCAGTAAACATATCCTCAGGTGAGGATAATAATAATAAAAAATTCCAACTGTGCCATAAAAAGTCTGCTTTATGAATTTCTTCCTTCCTTGTTCACAGACAAATGTGCCCTTCACCTTTTTTTAAAATTACTGTTTGTTTATTGTTAGAGAGAAGGGAAAGGAAGGAGAGAAGCATCAGTGTGTGGTTGTCTCTCATACACTCCCAGCTGGGAACCTGGCCTGTGACCCAGGCATGTGCCCTGACTGAGAATCAAACCAATGACCCTTTGATTCGCAGGCCAGGACTCAGTCCACTGAGCCACACCAGCCAGTGCCCTTCACCTTTTTAAGGCAAGGTACAGGAGTACCTTTGGGTGTTTTTTTTTGTCATTGATTCCTTCCTCTGACACCAAATAGGGCAGGAGTTTCAATGTGTATGGATCACCGGCTCCATAAGTGAGCTAATCATCACTCCTGTACTTGCCACAGCAAAACGCCAAAGAGAGCAGGAGGAAAGGGCTTCCTAGGTGGGGTCGGTGGGGGTAGCAAGAGCAGAGGGGCCTGACTGGGGCTCTGGAGTGTGGGGGAAAGGTCCTTCTCCTTCCTTCCCTTTCATTGGTCAGTGTGGTTTATACAGATGATAAGATTTGAGGAGAAAAGACTGTCATCACTTGGATGAAGGAACCACCTTGTGCCTTCATAGTTAGATGCTCTGGTTCAAAATGCCAACAGGTCCCTGTTTGTGGACAGCAAATGTGCAAAAAGGAGGGACAGGAAGAGGCCAAGGTCAGCCACAGGGTCTTAAATGGACATGTTCAGTGCTAGGGCACCAGGTGACAACTCAGCCCATGTGCATCATCTCTTCCTGGACATCTTTGCCTAAAATGCAATCAGGGAGGACTTTTCCTGAACATGGAGAGATGGGCATTAAATATATATACCTGCAGCTTCAACCACACATAAGACTGGAAAAATCTTAAACACAAACCAATGGGCTTGCCTTTAAGGCAAAATAGTGCTGATAGAATGTTTAAAAAAACCCAACAACCCCCCCCTCCGAACCCAACTCTCTGGTATGAAAATATGCAAAAGCAATTATGTAATCAGGGTCCCAGAGATCATTTCAAAAAGCAGTGTGCTAATTACAAAAGTAATATTTCTTTTATTAAATAAGATGATGAATTTTAAAGCATTTAGTACAGTGCCTGGCACTTATCATTTACCAACCTCAAATAATAGCTGCTGCCAGTGTTATATGTATGAATCATTAAAGCAGACCCAGTAGGACTTCTGTTTGGGTGTCATTTTGTCAGTCATTTATTTCATTAATATATGAGCTTTGAGTAATAAAAAGACATGGCTTAAAATTCAGATTACTTCCCAGTGCAGGCTGACCTTTCTCGAATTACTAAGACTTGTGACATTTCTCTGAACAAAACAGTGATCCACAAACCAAGGCTGTGTGGAAAACAAGGTGCCCAGACATGCTCTTTCCTCCCGTCCTGGGAGCAGCTGCTGATGGTGGGGGGGCTGGAGCCCCAGATGCTTCCACTGTTGAAGCACATAGTCTGTCAGCTAGGAAAGCGACGACATGGGAGTCCAGGGCCACTGTTTCCCCAAGTTTTAGTACAATCCCTGCCTCCTCACCTCTATTCACCCTCCCAGTCCCCTTGTCCATGTGGCCAGAAATGGTGTCGGCTGTGACCATGCTGCCCTGTGGTCTGTGTGGCTCCAACTCCAAACACGGTCATAGATGCCACGGCCCAGGTTGCAAGAAGAAAGACCAAGGCAGCTTCTGGACCACAGCTGTTTCCGTCGGCTGTACATCGCACTTGTGAAAATTTTAAATGTGAATACCTTTACAATGGGGCATTGTTTTCAAGTTCATCCAAGTCCCACTACTTCCTCTTTCCCTGGGTGGAATTAACTTAGTTTGTCACCTTGGAATATAAGCCATCCCCTGTTACCTCTTGTCATGGCCTTTAATGCTGTGCACTAACATAGCGGTGCAGCCCAGACAGGGCGCGCGGGAGCCCAGACCTGAAGGAATCGCTGTGGCCACCTAGACTAGCTCAGCCCCAAGGAGCTTCCCTGCCATGGCCCGGCTCGCTCTAATGTGGCAGTGCCGATACAAAGGCACAAAATGTCATTCTGGGACCTATGTGGCAGCTTACCATCTGTATATATTAACTTGTGAATATTGACAATATACAGTGTCCAGCAGAAGTGACACCTGCATGAGTGTGGTTCGTAGGGTAATAACATGGGTGTAATAATTTATAGTTTCAATTGGAACATTTCATCTAAAATGTCATCTGCTGTGTTTGAGTGTGACATTGTTACATTACAGAATTGCATGCGTATGATTTTGTAATGAAAGACTTTGTAATAAGAAGGGGCGTTATTTCTCCCAGACCCTGTATACAGCTTACCACCTGTGTGTATCCACTTCTGATTATGTTCAGGGAAAAAATAATAGAAAAAAAAGTTTGATCTCTTTGAGAAGCCTCAGCACCAAAGAGGTTAAATACTGCTTGGTAGTCTGCTATGCTACTTTAATGTAAGTTTAAAAATTCTATACATCAGAGCTGTTAAAACAGCTCTGATTTTTCAACATTGGAAAGAGGGGTTAGGTCAGGAACTCCCTACTGATTAGGGGATAAGATAGGTTGTTTTTTGTTTTTTCTTGTTTTCTCTTATGAGCCCAAGAAAAAAAGGCCTCTCGGGGGTCTCTTTTTTGGCCCCAGGAGAACTGTATTTCTTCTCTAACTATGTCATCAAATTCATGAGAGTTTTTGCATGAATAGGGCTCCTTTTGGCCAGTGCATTCAGGGAGCATAGGATAGGGGCAATCCATTCCTAAAGACCCTATAAAGCAGGTATAATTATCTTTTTTAAAAGATTTTATTTATTCATTTTTAGAGAGAGAGGTAGGGAGGGAGAAAGAGAGAGAGAGAAACATCAGTGTGTGGTTGCCTCTTATATGCCCCCACTGGGACCTGGGCCACAACCCAGGCATGTGCCCTGACTGGGAATCTAACCAGCGACCCTTTGGTTCACAGCCTGCACTCAATGGGTAGGTGTAATTTTCTTGATGTGCACACATGAGGAGGCACACTCAGAGAAGGTACACCCTTTGCCCAAGTCACACCATTAGCCACTGGACCTGATCTGGGTTTACCGACAGTCTAAACAGGCTCTTTGGACCACCTCATGCAGCCTCCACTAAGTAAAGGCAAACACCACAAAGCCACACTTTTAGTCCTGGACCTCAGAGTCCCTGGAGGAAGGACAGGGTCAATGGAGGTTTTGCAAAAATACACAGTTTGGGGAAAATACAAAAAAAAGAGAGAAACCAACTGCGTCTTTGCAAAAAGGAACTTTTAACCTCAGTCTTGGATTCTTGGCTTCACTACAAGTCCATTGTAAATACATTTTTCATACAGAGGATGTGAAGGTGTTGGCCTGTCTCACACCAGGAAGAAAGCTGAAGTGGGGGTACCTACCGCCTTCAAACTCTGTCTGGCAGTTCCCCGAGGTGTCGTTCAGGCTCTCCTCCTCGTTGATGATGATGTTCTCAATGTCCTTCATTGTTAAGTGGTCCCGGAAGGCGTGATAGAGGATGTGCTTCAACTCTTCCAGAGTTATCCTTTGCATGTCGAACTGTGGAGATAAAAAGGAGTGAGAGGGTCTTGGGCACTCGGGGGTGAGAACTCTGCTTGGGGTATTACCCGCAAGCCCTAAAGCCTTCATGCTCCTTTATGAAAACCTGTTCCAGCTTTTCAGAACATCACATGAGCAGTTTTCCATCATGTTCAGCTCCAAACATACTTGTGAACTTGCAATAACTTATTGGGAATACAGTGCATGCAGCATATCCCCCTCCACTGAGACTCTTGGAGGAAAAAAAGTGCCACCTGCCGATTTGGTTTCCTACTCATCCAGCCATCTGCTGTCACCCCTTGTACACTTGGGAGTAGTGTCACTTCAGACAATGCATAGGTCTCTAAAAATTTTATGATCTCTTAAGAAGCTTCCAATTCCTATCTTGGTTTAAGTATGTATCTCATTATAACTCTAGAAAATACAAGCTCGAAGCCATGTTTATGAGGAGAAGCAGCAAAGATGGGGGGAGCATCCCAGGTACATTTTCCCCTCCTGGTGACAGCACTGTGTTTCCCCACTGCGTTTATTTCTACCAGGCTCAGCCGTGTCACTTAGTCCATGACATGTGAGGGGAGGTCACACCTCCAGTTGAAAGCTTTAAGAGCCATTGTGTGGTTCTATCGTTCGTGCTTTTCCCTCGGCCATGAGAACAGCATGGCCGAGGCAGGGCTGTTCCTTCTGTCTGGGTCCCAGAATGAGGATAAAGGGGGAAATTCCTGCAGCTGTCCCATAAAAGGAAAATCATGTAAGAAATGCCCTTTTTGTTATTAGCCATGGAGACTTTGGACTTTGTCACTACCATAGCGTAATGTGCTTTAAGTCAACAATACAGAAATTAGTACATAGAAATGACAGGCTACCATTATAGAAATTCTAATATATGATGCATGGCTCCCAGGGCCAGGCAATGTGAAATAAGGAAACTGTTATTGGAGGTTAGAAAGATAAGAACCCTTTGTATGCAGTAGCAACACATTTGTGATAACTTGCAGAGCAGATGTGCATTGAATGACTTTGTGGCTTTGGAGGGAAAGTTTGGGGAACAGCAGCGCTGGCCGCAGATGGTTGTGTCCGACAGGCTGCTGCAAGAACGAGATGAGCTCAGAAAAGAACTGATTGGTTCGCAAGCCAGAAATGAAGACAACTTGGAAAGTCCTGGACTTGCAGGAAAGAAAGTGGGTGTTTCTCATCTCCAACTAGCAAGAGATAAAACTGAGAAATACTTTAACAATTATAAGCCTATTAAAACAACTCAGCCCTGACCATTGTGGATCAATTGGTTGGGCATCATCCCTCAAAATGAAAGGTCCATGGGTTCGATTCCCTGTTGGGGAACATGCCTGGGTTGTGGTGGGTTCAGTCCCTGGTTGGGGTCATGTAAGAGGCAACTGATTGATGTTTCTCTCCTCCTCTTCCTCCCTCCCTTCTCCTCTCTCTAAAAATAAATAAATAAAATCTTCAAAAAAGTCAGTGTCCTTTGTTACAATCTCTGAATATGTTAGGTGACTCTTTCAGGAAGCTGGCTATTAAGTTCAAAAAGAAGTTCGTCTCAAATATAATTGTGGACATGGCTATTTGCACAAACCAATTGGAATCAAATAGGTAAAAAGATGACTAAATTTTTGAGAGAGCTGTCCTGGCCAAGAGCCAGCAGCCTGGGATTAAACCAGTCCATGACTCTATGATCTTTGGGCTCCCAGCTTTCCACAGGCATATGCCATTATGAGGAGAAGCTACACAGAGCCCAAGAGGGACATCTTTTCCAACGCACTCATTAGATGGGTATATGGGAGTGGAAAAGGCTGGGTCCCCCAAATGGTGAAGCTGGGAATTATGCTTCAAATTATGTAATGAAAGCCAGAGCAATTTCCAGGATGTAGAACTAGGGCTTAATTAAAAACTATCCTTTACCCCAAAGTGTGTCCAACAATTTCAGAATTGCTGAGCCTTAGACTCCTAGGTATCTTTCAGTTTTTTAAATGTCTCCATGAGAGGCCACACCCAGATTTGCTGTATCTCGTGAGATTCTAGATCTCAAGTCTTACATTGTCATTGGATGGGACTTTCAGGGTGTTTCCCTTGGGGAAGGCATGAGTATATTTTGTGGCTGGAGGGAAAGAAATAAATACTCATGGACAAGAGTGTGGTCTGTAATAGGTTACATTATTTCCAATTGTTTTTTCCCCTCCCTGTGAGAGAATTATATCTCCCTGCCCTCTGACCTTAGGCTTTGGCCAATAAAGGGAGGAAAGTCTCAAAAGCCATTGTGTATTCTGCCATCTCTCTCTCTCTCCCCCACCCCCACCTCCTCACTCTTTTCTGCCACAAAATCATGTCGCCCAACAGGGGCTTCTCCTTTCTCCTGGGTCCTGGAATGAATACGGTGTGGAGCTAACCCATGTACGTGAAAGGCATGTAAAGTTGAGTGAGAAATAAACCCTTGTTTTTCACCACTAAGACTTTGGGATTTCTGCAGTATAACTTAGCCAAGAATGAATACAGAAACCAATGTTTTAAGTTAGGCTGGATCATGATAAAAGAAAGTTTTAGACATTTTTCCCTGCTTTATTTGTAAAGCGATTCCTTTAAGTATACCCCTTTTTCTAAAAAAAAATTTAATTGGGTTACTGAAGCTTGCTGGACATCCAAATGACTCGAGTTCAAAGCTATTTCTAGGGCTAAAAGCAACTGGAGTGGAATGTGTAAAGTAGATTTGTTTCTGCACCCCAGTTTATTGAATATAAAAGTAAAATTTGAGAAACATTCAGAATTGTGCCTTAGATTTGACAGGGGAAACTGCGGTTGGCTGTCGGCTGGGTGCGGGGAGAAGGCTAGCGAAGTGCACAGTGAGGGCAGTGTACCTCACGGATGAGAACACAGCCACCCCACTGCCATGGTCAGAGAAGGAGAGTGACAAAATCAATGAGACTCTGAAAATGAGTGAGCATTCCTTGATGGAAGGACTGGAGTGCCCGGGAAACTCTAAGTAGCTGAGAGTTTGCTAAATTCAGAAAGCGGGGAGAAAGAATTGGCCAGGGGCTATGAGGAGGGCAGGACAGGTGCAAGCAAATTCCAGAAATCCCTCATTTTCCTTTTACTTGGCTATCTGGGTCATATTTTAGGAAACTAATATTCAAACAAAATTAGTTGAGTAGAATTCCATGTCAGCATAGATTCGCCTCTTAAAATTTTTAAAGAAATCACTATAAAACTTGGATATAATGCCAACAAGTAATTTCTCCCATTATTATCAGTCCATTTAGCTTTCTGATTTTCCTTGAGTTCATTTTGGAATTTTGTATTTTTTTCAGAAAATTTTAGTCGAAAGTTTTTCATTATTATTAGCATGTAACTATGCACACTAGTGTAAAAATTTTTAATTTCCCTTAATACTTCTTATATCCCATTTTTAATTGATAAATCCTGCTTGTTTTTCTTTCCCCTAGGTTTTATTTTTATTGTTTTATTCTGTTTTTAGTGAAACCGGTTTAAAGAATGTAGGCCATACATCTCTTATTTTTAGGAACCAATGGAATTTTCCATTATGGGTGGACCTTTGTAGGGCCATTTACACAAACATACTTCTCTTTATTAATTCTGTTATATAACCTTATAATTATAATCTGTATCTCCTATAACCTTATTTCTTTTGGATGACTTCATTTGTCAAAGACTATGCGTAAGATATTGAAGCTGTGAAGGGAGTTGTATCTCCATACATTTTCTTATAGTCCTAATGTTTTTTAATGAGTCCTAATATTATATATATATATATTTTAAGATTTTATTTATCTTTAGAGGGGAAAGGAGAGAGGGAGAGAAATATCAGTGTATGGTTGCCTCTCATGCGTCCCCCGCTGGGAACTGGTCTGCAGTCCAGGCATGTGCCCTGACTGGGAATTGAACTGCGATCTTTTGGTTCCCAGGCCCGCACTCCATCCACTGAGCTACACCAGCCAGGGCTTGAGTCCTAATATTTTTAAAATATTTTTTAAAGTTACAGCTCTGATGTTTTAATAAATATTTTTAATTTGTTTCAATAAAAAAGTAACTTTACAGATAAATTTAAATGGCTACTCTTTGGTACCAAGAGACTGAGTCCTTACTGGGACAAACAGTGTTTGGTGACTGCATGCCAGGTACTGAGATGGAGGCGTGGAGGTGGGCCAGACCTCAAGGCGGAGGTCCTGGTCGCAAAAGACAAGCCTGTGAGCAGTTTTCATTCAGTTTGATGCACACTGTGGCAAGTGAAGCACAGGATGGTAGGGCAACCCCTGGGGAAGAAGGGTTGGGTCCTAGAAGGCTTTCTGGAATAGGGGCATGCAACCTAAGGCTTAAAGGAAGAAGCGCCCTGGCCAGGTAGCTCGGTTGGTTCAAGTGTGGTCCCAATACACCAAAGGTGTGGGCTTGATCTCTAGTCAGCGCACATTCGAGAATCAACCAATGAGTGCCTGAATAAATGAACAACAAACTGATGTTTCTCTCATTCTCTCTTTCTCTCTCCCTCTCTCTAAAATCAATCAATAATTTTAAAAAAAGGAAAATGAATTTGTCAGGTGAGCGGGGTGGAGATGAAGGAGAGGATGGGGAAAGGAGGTGAAAAGGGCTGTCGGGAGAGGAAATGCCATGCCAAAGCCCAGGGCGTGAATGGCCACACACCAAGTCCTGAGGACTGGGCACAGTAGGAGGTATTAGGAGTGTGGGTCACAGCTGTGTGGAGGGTGCTAATCAGTACAGGCCTGTATGCCATGGGGAGGAACTTGGTTGTTTTTTTTGTTTTGCTTTCTGTCTGTTTTTACATTTTTAGCATGGTAAATACACATAACATAAAGCTTGCCATTATATTCATATTTGAGTGTGCAGTTCAGCGGCATCAGGTCCATTCACAGTGTTGTGCGGCCATCACCACCATCATCTCCAGAATTGTTTGCATTTTCCCCAACTGAAACTCGGTACCCGTTGAATACTATTTCCCCATTCCTCCCTCCCCCACACCC